CATCGTAGTAGAGCGTGCCGAGCGAGGCCGTGCACCTGATGACCGAATACTCCTTCGGGGAGAGCGCCAGTACGCCACAGTCCTGCTGAGATTCGAGCCTGCTGTGCAGTGCTCCGTAGTCGGTGTATCTTGCGAAACCTAGCTGCGGCTGAGCTCTGTCGCTTCCTGGCTTTGGCTTGTACCCGTCGAGTAGCCGCAGCCGCGTCAACTCCGAGGTCGACGGCCGTGGCGGTCGCAGTAACTGGGATGTCGTACTGCCGCAACTTCTTGGCTAGCGATTTGCGGACCTTGGGGGTGGAGCCGATGAGGACAGTCTTGTCTGAGATAGGCAGCTCGAACTCCTTTAAACCGTCGCAGAGCGTCTTGGCGGCACGGGGGAGGTGCTTCTGTAGAGTGCGTAGGACTCCTTCGACTCGAAGAACAGTGTCATCTACGAAGGTCCACATCTGGGCAAGCTCTGCCTGAGCTTGGGCTTGCCGTAGAATAGTGAGTACAATGAGCCGTGCCAAGGTGGTGCCGTGAGGGGAGCCTGCAATGATGCCTTTGGAGGCGAAGATCGGCATACTCACCCATTGTCGACTGCGCAAGAATCTGGGCGCCAGGTATAGCTGTACTTCCAGTAGTAGAATGATGGGGGAAAGCCGCAGTTGAGGCCGACCATAATGAGGTTGGCGAGCTTGATATTGTCGTAAAACTTCTGGATGTCTAATAGCAACGTGGCTGACTGTATGCCAAGTGCTGAGGCTGTCTCGTCTAACAAGGCCCTGTGTAGGGCGGCCTGGAGAGCTGAGGAGCCTTTGATGGCTGTAGTCCAAAAGTCGTCCAGACCTTGGGTCCAGGATGTAGATGCAGTCGATCTGATGCGAGACCAGAGTCTGGCCAGATGAGGTAGCATGCCGAGGACCCTGTCGCCTCCAGACTTCTTGGCGGCGAGAGCTGCAATAGTGCCTGAAATTTGTAGTGGCCAGATGCCTGCTTGCTCTACTGCGTTGAGGATATCCGCATAGGCTTCGACTGCTGGTTCTGGTAGTCGATGGAGGTCGCGAGGTCCAAGGGCGTCAACTCCATGTGCTTTACTGGGTGGCATGCGGCCGTGAAGCGGTGTACGATCTCGGCTGTGATGGGCTCGAGCGGTTGGCGAGCGGCTGCTGCCTTGGCCTTTGACAGGGCCTGTAGGATGTCGTCGGGGGTCTCGGTGGCTTGCCGTACTTGTTGCCATTGTTGCTTCTTGTTGTCCATGATAACGGTGGGGTCGGCGATGGTGAGGTTGGTCGTGTAGGCCTCGATGTGACGTACGGGCGCTGGCTTGACATGGGCGTGTAGTACTCCAGGGCGGCGTTTCCATTGCTTGGCGAGCCAAGCACCGTAGGCCCTCTTGGACTTGGCGAGGGCGGCGGAGAGCGCTCTGGAGGCCCAAGTAGCGGTAATAGTGACCAAGTCGTCGGTGTCATCATTGTCCAAGTGCGGGGCCCAGACGAGTGCAAACCAGCGGAAATGGTGTCCTCGTCCTTCTCGACCTGGAGGTCGTGAAAGTGAGTGTTGAAGTGGTCCGCGCGCTGCTGGATGATGGAGGCCTGCTGCTGCATGAGCGCTGTGTGCTTGGGCTTGTCGTGAAGCGCAGCGTAGCGCTTGATGAGGGTGAGCGTGATTGCCCACCATTCCGACTGGGGGTCATGTACGTGTACGCGGCCTGGGGCGGCGGCCGTCTTCTTCCAAGACAACTGGTAGCCTTGGGCCCGGCCTGTGTATGCTGCGGCTTCCTTCGGGTCGATCTGGTGGTGGCTGATCATGGTGTTCTCGAGCGCCGTGACCCATTTGGCGTACTTGAGGTTGAGGTCGTCGGCGTCGTGCACCCAGTGTGTGTACGCGAAGTGCGCGTGAGGCTGCTTACAACGTGTGGGTACAGCTTGCTGCCATTGTTCTTCCCACAGGTCCCTCGGGATAGCATAAGGGATAGGTTCCTGTGCTGCGGGCTCGTCTTGTGGCTGGAGTTGTGCGGCTGCTTGTTGGAGTTCAGGTGGTAGATCGCGTAGGCGTGCTGCTCGAGCTTCTGCTGTTTTACCTTTCTTGATGGCGGTCTTGCTGTTGGGGTCTGGTGGGATCCTGGGTCTGTCCACTGTGGGGAATGCCCTGGGGGTATGGATCGACTGATACCACCGGGGGTCTGCACTGCCTGCTCGAACTTCAAGGCCAACGTGGGTGGCCCAGGGTACGGTGGGGCACTGGCGAATGGAGATCGCGTGCTCGATGCCAGTCTTGACCAATGCGAAATCAAGCGTGGGTCCCTGGCCCTTGTCGCACGTGGCGGATCCAGGCGCTCGCACAATGGTAGCATTCCATTTGGCGGGCCACTCTGTCGCTGCGAGCTGCTCAGGTGTCATATTCCAATCGGCCAGGATGATCCAAGGGTCCGTGAGCATAGTAACGAAGGCTCCCAGCGAGAGTAGCTTATCGTGCACTGCACCCTCGATCTGCCTGTGGGGTTCCAGATGCGCAGCAATAACGACCAGGTTGCCAGAGCGTCTGTGCCATACCATGGGCGTGAAGCCGCGGAACGGGTCGGGCCTGCGCTGGGAGATGGCCAGGTCGCGGAGGTGGTTGAACGTTGTGGCCTGGGCATGGTACCTGGAAAGGATAATCTCGCCACCCGTGTGGCCTCCGTCTGATCTGCTGGTCGGCGTGGCCGTAGTCGATGATATCCTCCAACCGTCCGCTGCTAGCTTGTCGTAGATGAGAAGCGCTTTTCCATGCGAGATGTGTGTTTCAACCAATGCCACCATCTGATATTGTTTGCCTGGCCCTGTCAGCCATTTCTCCGACTGTGGCCCCCACTGAGTAATGTTGGAGAAGAACAGGGAGTGATCTGACGGCGTGGGCTTCGTAGGGCATTCGTCTTGGTAGACGGGTCTGGGGTCGGGTCTCGGGCCGCTGGGCTTCCATGAGCCTTTCCCTGCAGTCGAGTCGACAGCTTTCGCCATCTCATCGCCCCCTACCAAGGACTGCGTCTTGGGCGGGGCGGCATCAGGGTTTGCCAATGGCGAAGGCTCCCCTGGTTCCTGTACCACATGCAAGTCGACAGCTTGGGCCGTCTCATCGCTCCCTACCGAGGACAGCGTCTCGGGCGGAGCGGCATCAAGGTCGGCGCGCGTGGCACGCTGCGGCTGCCCTGGGTCCCATGCCACTGGGTCGACGGACTGTGCCGCCTCATCGCCCCCTACCGAGGACAGCGTCTCGGGCGGGGCGGTAGCGTACTGATCTGTGGCTGCGAAATCGATGTGGGCGTCCAACTCGGCCAGCTCGTCGAACGGGTCGAGGACTGCGTCCATTGTGTTGATGATCGGTGGGTTGTCGTAGCTCTTGGTCTCTGACGGTAGGCGCCCCGTCTCACCATTCCGTCCAGGGTCGGGTTGTAGGCGGCTAAAGAGGCTGCTGCGCTCCAGCCGCGGCGGTCGCAGTGGGCTTGCGCATCTGGCTGAGCATCTTCTGTGCCTTGTCTTCGAGGTCGGGGTCCTTGTTGATCGCTGGTACAGGCTGTGCGGCAAAGCTGCCGTCAGAAGTAGCGCCAGCAGCAGGTGCGGGAGGCTCATCGCTTGGCGCCGCTGGCGAAGAGGCCGCAGTGCCCTCAGCGTCCGCTGCGGCTGCCGCTGGGGGTTCGCCTGCTGCCGCCGAGGCGGCGGGCGGTGGTCCACCTCCCTCTCGGGCGTGTCCATCCTCGTCGGACCGCTGTCGCTTGGAGGCGAAGCGGGTGCGCATGGTGCTGGCCTCTGCGCGGAGCTGGCTGATGCGGCTGGCGGTGTTGCCGAAGAGCTCAGTGACCTTGGCCTTGAGCTCCGTGGCGAAGCGCTGTTGGAGAGATTCCCATGCCTGGCGGTCACTGTCGTCGATGTCGAGGCCTTGGAGATCGAACGCCGAACCCGCTTCGATGGATATGTCGCCGTCCTCGAGGAGGCTGGTGAGGTTGAACGTCGGGTTCTGCTGCGAGGCCGTGGGAGTAGCCGTGCCGCCCTTGCGAGCGACTTGGAGCGCATCGAGAGCCGCTTGGGCCTCGGCCTGGGCTTCTGCCAACTTGTAGGCGGCCTCCTCCGACGCCGCCTTGCGCTCGGTGTACCAGCTGAGCGCCTTTTGCTCGCTTTCGAGCAGCCTCTCCAGATTGTTCTTGCAGCGGCGCTCCGTAGCCTGGGCGCGGCTGTAGATGTCGTTGAGGTCGGCTGGCTTCTGCGGCTGGGGCGGCGGGATCTGCGACTTGATGCCGTCAATGGCTGCCTTGTCGATGTGGGGGGCGATCGCCTGGAGCTCCGCCAGGATGTCCTCTGCGGAGCGCGCCTTAGGGGTGTCGTTCTTGCTGGCCCACCAGTCGTCCTCTTGGTCCTTGCCATTGCCTTTGCCGCGGCGGCGGCGGGACTTGGGCCATGAAGACCACGGTTCCCATCCACCCTCGGGGCTGGGCTGCTGGGTGCAGTTGGACTCGGCCTGGGCTGCGGCTGTGGCGCGGGCCGCCCAAGCACCTTGAACTGGAGGCGGGGCGTCTGTCCACGGCGCCAAGGCTTTGCTGCACCAGTAGCACGTCTGCTTGGTCTTCCAGTTCCAGGCGTACGAGCAGGAGTAGCACTTGACGTAGGCGCTGCGCTGCTGCGGAGGCGCCATGGACGAGCTGAGGAACAGAGAAAGCTCACCTGCGGGCTGCAGGGGGCACACGGAGAGTTGAACAAAGCTGTCGGGCTCAAGAGCCCTGGCACTGGCCGCGGACTAGCGGTATCCACTTGTTCCCCTGTGGAACTAGGCATCTTGAGCCAAAATGGCTACGGAAGAGGAGGAGGAGGAGGAGGAGGAAGAGCAGGAGGAGGAGGAGGAGGAGGAGGAGGAGGAAGAGGAGGAGGGGGGATAACAATATGGAAAAAACAACACAAAAACAAACAACCCTCTGCGCGAGAGGTGCGCTTCTGCCTTCGAGGAGGGCAGGGCACGCCGGCGGCGGCGGCGGCAGCGGCGCGCGCGCGCACCGTCCCCACCCCGGCGACCAGGTCGGGCAGGGCCTGGCGCCGGCGGGCGACGGCGCTGAGAGGGGGCGGTGGACCGGCGCTGGCCTGCGCCGGGCGTCCTCCTCCTCCTCCTCCTCCTCCTCCTCCTCCTCCTCCTCCTCCTCCTCCTCCTCCTGTGTACGGCGTAATTGTAGAGATCTCCTCCTCCTCCTCCTCCTCCTCCTCCTCCTGTGGCCTGCCTGCAGTAATTGTAGAGACCTGTGGCGAGGGAGCCTAGAGGGAGGCTCTGATTCACCATCGTTGGTGCGTACTGGGTTTCATTACGCTGGTCTTCCTCCTCCTCCTACTCCTCCTCCTCCTCCTCCTGGTCCTCCTCCTACTTTCGCATGCAGAAACCAAAGATCAGCAAAGATAAAGCAGCAGAACAACAGCGGGGGAGGGGGACGGCCCCATGGCTCCGATGCAAGTCCTTCCACACCCCACACCCTGACCTCCCCACTTCGTGGGCCCTGGTGATGCTGGCGGCATCCGCTCCTCCTCGATCCTCCTCCTCCAAGGGAGAATTTCCCGCCCTCGAGGGGCCAGCTGTGAGGAGGGCAGGTGTTCGGCTCAGACCGCGCCGCCCGAAGCGCGGGCAGCTTCTGCGCCCCTGCGGGGGGCCTGCTGCTCCTGCTCCTGCCCGGGGAGGCCAGGGCTCCTCCCCCCCCACTCCCCCCTCCTCTCCCCCTCCTCCCCCAGCCCTCCCCCTCCTCTCCCATTCACCCCCCCCTCCCTCCTCCCTCCTCCTCCCCTCCTCCCCCCTCGTCCTCCTCTCCTCTCCCTCCCTCCTCTCCCATTCCCCCCTCCTCTCCCTCCTCCCCCAGCCCTCCCCCTCCTCCCCCCCTCCCAGGATGTCACTCAGCATCGGATCTGCAAGTCGGATCGATCTGAAATGCGCGTCGGATCGGACCGTATCGTCACGAAATCGAAATCGAATCGACTCGGCGGTGCCGAGATGCACCACAACGACATGTTAGAATCGGGCCGCGTCGGACCGTCTGCATATCAAAATCGAAGCCAATCGATCCGGCCCAAACCGATGGCGAATCGGATCGATCGGATCGGAATGGGCCTTGCGAAAGCAGGGTGAAGGTAATTTCGGATCCTTCCCGCTCCCTTCCCCTCCCTCCCTGTGTCCTCCTCCTCCTCATCCGCTAAGTCCTCCTCCTTCTTCCTCCTCGCTCCTCGCCTCCACCTCTCCACTCTCCTCCTCCTTTCCCTCCTCGTGCTCCTCCGATTCCTCCTCCATCCAGCCCCTCTTACGGTACGACGCCTTACCCCCGTTTCCCTCGGGACTCCGTTCCTTCATGGCGACGAAGCAAGCGTCGAGACACACAGCGCTCATGTGCTGCCTCGCGCCAGCTTCAAGACATCGCCTTGAGCGTAAGAGCGGACACCAACGGTGAGCATCACCAGGCTACGGTACCATCCACGCGTTAAACGTTCGAGCAAACACTCATGATGTCATGTCAGGGCCTCCGCATTGCCGCAACATTCGTGGAAGGGTGATGTGTGATGAGCAAGATTAAGAAGGCGACGTAGGTAAGAGATGAGAGGAATCATGATGCGAGGGAGGGGAGACGGGAGGCAAGTGAAGGACGATGAGACAAGGGAGGAGAGGAGAAGGAGGCGAGGGGGGGAGGAGACAAGAGAGGGTCAAACACTGGAACACGAACGGATTGAGGAAATAGACGTAGAGGAGCAACGGAGAGGTGAGAGAATCCCGAGGGGGAGCGGCTGACAGGGGGCGTCTACAGCAAGAGGGAGAGAATGTGCACAAGTTACTTTTTCAGAGTGCCCGCGTGAAGCTCTGTGTGCAAATCGCCGGCTAATCGCCTGCCCCGATCTTGCGCGTGTAGATCAGCATGCTCGAGCTCCTCTCGCCCACCACCTGGATCAGATCCTTCTCCTCCAGGTGGCGGATGGCCTGACGCGCGACGGAGCCGTTCACCTTCAGCCTCTCGCTCACGATGGCCGTGGTGATGAGCTTGGCCTTCGGGATTTCCTTCAGCATCTTGTCGTAAGTGGCCTGGTCGAACATGACCAAGTTGGCCAGCTTCTCCTTCACCTTGCCCTTGCACAAGGAGAAACATCGGCATGCACATATATTTTCGAAGATCCGCGCGAGTGGCTTGCAGCGGTGCTGGACCCACTTGGCGGCGTCCCTGGCGCCGCCCCTGGAGCGCTCCGCGCTCCAGGGAGTGGGGGGTCAAGCGCCGATGCGAGGCATCCGCACGGACATCCCAACGATCACGTGTACGCCTGTGTTCTCCTCCGACCTTGCTCCACTTCTTCTTCTTGGACTTGCCGCCGGCCATGGCGGCCTTCATCTTGGCCTCCTTGGACTTCTGTACGACCTTGTTGGCCCCCATGGCGGGCCTCCCCTGCGGCGCTCGCCGCGGAGCCGGGTGCGGGCTAGCGACGACCCGAGCCAGCACGGCTGCGGAGAGGAGGCAGGCTCGGGTGCTGCCAGAGGTGCCCCTGGCCCAGGGCGCCTCGATCCCGGACTTCCAGGGAGGCCCCCACGGCCTCCGCAGCACCCCTCACGAGGCCCCGAGTGCACTGGGGGCTCCAAGAGGGGAGCGAGAAGCCGGAGGCACCCTGGGCCACGGGCACCTTGATCGCCCCCCGGCAGGAGGGCTCCAAGAGGCCCGACGGCGGGGATCTGCTGGTGCCGGGCCCCAAGGTGGCCCAAGAAGAGCCCCACGGGGCCCCAAGGAATCACCAAGGTGCCCCAGTGTAGTCGACGATGGCCCCCAGGACCCGAGGCTCCAGGGTGCTCCTGAGAGGCCCCCAACGCAGGTGGGGGGGAAGGAGGCGCTGACCCCCTGGCCAAAGGCACGCAATCCTCTCCTAGCTTGACGTTAACCTTGCGATATACATGAAGATCAGTCTTAAGGATGGAGCGCAGTGGTGCAAGGCGCCTGGAACTCGCCAAGGTGCCAAATCGCAGACTGAGGGAACAGAACACATGCGCTCACAAGAATCAGGGGATGCATTGGCATTTTGCTTCAATGGCTCATCCTCAATGCTGATTCCCTAGTCAATTCCTGAGGACTCGAGCGTCGACAAACTACGCCTGCCGATACACCTTGGTCGAGACTCACAGCGGAAGGAGGCGCGTGTGAGGAGAGCAATGACCTCATTACGCAACACGCTCGTTCGCAAAAAGCGGCGAATACAGCGAAGGCGGAGGAGGAGAAACGACAAAACAAGAGGAGAAGGAGAAGGAGAAGGAGGAGGAGGAGGAGGAGGAGGAAGAAGAGCTGGAGGGGGGTCGAAGGAGGAAGCGGCGAAAAGCAGGAAGAATTTGTATCGTCGTTCCCACAATCCTGGGCAACCTCTCAGCCAGGCCACGTCGTGGCGGCGCCTCCGGGGCAAACATTAGCGCCGACGTACAAGGAGGAGGACGAGGATGAGTATGAGGATGAGGATGAGGAGGAGGAGGAGGAGGAGGAGGAGGAGGAGGAGCAGGAGCAGCAGCAGCAGCATCAGCAGCAGCTAAAGCAGCAGCCTAAGGGGACGGTCGCAAAAGCGAGGATGGAGGACAGTGGAGAAAACGAGGACGGAGAAAAGGCAGAGAGAGAGGAGGGAGGGAGAGGAGGAGGAGGAGGAGGAGGAGGAGGAGGAGGAGGAGGAGGAGGAGAAGGAGGAATAGGAACAGGAACAGGAGGAACAGGAGGAGAGGAGGATCAGGAGGAGAAACAGGAGGAGGAGGCAGAAAGAGAGAGAGAGAGAGAGAGCAGGAGGAGGAGCTATCATGGCATGCAGACCCACAGTCTGACTCACATGCTGAAACCATTTAAGAAATTGTTCGCCCAGTCCTGCAGGATGGCTGAATTGCACCAAGCTGCATTGCTGTGCTCCGTGAGTTTGTCAACCTGACGTGTTGGCCCCCACATGCGATCGAAAGTTTCTCCAGACCATGTTTATTACCTGTCGCCCCTTGCTTGTGGATCCGGGGTTCCTGCGCAGATGCAGGCGCGGGAGTGCGCACAGCAGAAGAGAGTTCAAAGCTGAGCCCCCGCATCTCTGAACCTAGAAAAAAAACAGTCTCTGTGAGAGAGAGAGAGAGAAAGAAAGAAAGAAAGAGAGAAATAAACAAAGAAAGAAAGAAATAAAGAGAGAGAGGGAAAGAAGGAATGAGGAGGCAGAGAAGAGGAGGGGGAAGGAAGAGTACGAGTGGAAGGCGATGACGGGGGACCTCCTCCTTCTCCTCCTCCTCCTCCTCCTGGCAAGGGCAAGCAGACGAGTAGAACATACACCGTGTCAGAGCTCCAGGTGCAGCCTCCGGTCTGCGAAGAAAGCGCGCGGGGAAGGCACCACCGCCGCGGCGACCAGCAGCCATGCGGACGCCTCGGGGCCCCGTCCCCAAGAAGCAGGCGGCAACGAACAAACACATACAATCATGACACCGTGCTATCGGTCAGCCTTGATCACATCGTGAGCCTACCATACAGCCAATGATGTCGTGGGCTTATACCAAAAAAAGGCGCCACGCAGCCTCTACCACGTGGCTTGCCCCACCTCATTTGCACCACATGTCTTAAACCGCGTAGCTTGCACCACGTAGCTTGCACCACGTAGCTTGCATCACAGATCTGACAGCACATAAACTATATACATACACTGCTCCACATAGATGGCACCACAGATGTTGCACCACACCTGCTGCACAATGTAAATTGCACAACGTATATCACGCCACGTAGGGTACAGAACACATGTTACCCCACTTATCTTTCACATCTAGTGCAATAGATCACTGTGGGGTCAACGCTGGTTCACATGATGATTATGGCGAGCGGGACACGGCTGAAGATCGCGAGGATGAGGATCAGGAGAAAAATGGGTGACGATGCGCTGGAGGGGTAGGATGATTGAGACTCTGATGGCGATGGGGAGAGGAAGAAATATCAGGTGGGCACCTACGATTATGGCGCCGATCATGGTGACGATGATGCTGTTTGTGATGATGGCTCGAGAAAGTACTACGTACGATGAGGGCAAGGAGCATTCGAATGAGGAGGATGAACAGGTTGATGGGGCTCTGAAGGTGTATGGTGGCGATGGTGATTGCAATGGCGATGATACTGATGATAGATGGGATGAGGACGGCAAGTTGAGCACCACTGCGCAGGAGCGCTTATGCTGACAGTGGTTATGGTGTTGATGGTGACGATACTGACGAGGACAATCAGGTGACAGGGAATGTGTAGGAGTATGTACAACGAGGCCGAGTGTCATGCCCAGTCCCACGACGATAAGATAGCGATGCCGAAGAGAAGCAGGTGAACGAGGGTACACATTCGTGCGATGGAGATACTGAATATGACGGTGACGATGGGGGGGGGCGTGGGAGGATTAGAACAACTATGACGGTGATTGAGAAGAGCACGATGAGGAATTGGTTTGGCGAGGATGAGGTTCCGCAACCCGTGCTCTCTCTCTCTCTCTCTCCCTTCTCTCTGACTCCCTCGCTGTTGTGATCTTCCCCCCTCCTCGGAAGCTGCGCAGACACAGACTGTAGAGAGCAGGGAGAAACCAGAGCACGTCCGGCGGGCGCGCGGGACAGCAGCAGTCCGGGGCAGCCGTCGCGAAGCTAACTGCAACCGAAATACCCCGGCGCGCCCAGGCATCCCAGCCGGCGCCACCGCACCTCCCACTCACTGGCCGGGGGGGGCCGGGGCGCGCCGCCGAGCGCTGCCTCGAGACCCCGCGCCAAGTGGACTCCGCGCCGACGGCCCGAGCGCGCGGGAACAGCATCAGCCCGGCCGCCTTCAGCGGTATAGGACGGGCACGCAACCAGCGCGCGGGCGACTCGCGAGGCGCGCCCAGACCAGGGCCCGGCAGCCTGGGTGCAAGCAGGCGACCCAATTGGGCCCCTACAGCGCCGCGCGCGCCCTCCACGCCCCGCCGCCGAAGGGAGCCAACGCTGCAGCCGCCGGCACAGGGCCTTCGAGGAACCGCGGCTGCGCGGCGGCGCCGCCCCGCGGCGCCAGCAGCCACGACGGCGCGCCCGCAATTGGGGCGGGGCCGCCACAGGCCGCGGCTGGGTCGGGCGCGAGCTCGGCGCCCAGGCTGCCACCGCCCCGGATCCAGCGGTAGAGCCGGCCATGGCCTGGCCGTTGGCCAAGCAACCCTGGGCCCATTCCCGCCGCTCCTCCCGCCGACGGCCCCTGGCGCGCGGGCCTCCTGCCCGGCAGCCTCGGCCCGCTCAATCGGGCACGCGCGCCGGCGGCTCCACGGCCTCGCTGAACGCCGCCAAGAGACTACAACCCACTCGGCCGTCGCGCCGTCAGCCGTGCGTAGGGCTGCTGGGGTGGGCTCGGCCACCGCCCGCGCCGCGGCGCCGCCTGCCGCGCGGCGCCGAGCGTGCTGCAGCGCCCGCAGCCGCCGCGACCTCAGCAGGGCTGCGCCCGCATGCCGATCGGCCGCCTCGCCGCCGCCACCCGTGGGAGGGCGGTCTGCCTGCCGCGCGGCCGCCGCGCGCGGCCTGTCAGGGGCCGCTGGGGGCCCGAGCCTGGCGGCCATGCACCCGCGCATCGCGGCGTGGAGCGAGAGCCACGCAGCCTCCACGTCATGCCACCCTAAGGTTTGGCGGAAAACCTCGCCGCGCGCCGCCTGCGCGGCGGAAGCGGCAGCCCAGGCCGCCGCAGGCCCCCAACCCCCCCACGGCGACGCCGTGGTGCCGCTCCGCCACTGAACTCCACCAGCGTCGCGGCGCGGGTGGCGAAGCCAAGATCCCACCGCAAGCTTACCCCCTCGACGGTGCTCAACGCAGCGGGGGTCGCCAGCAAGTAGTCGACGCGGGAGGCCTCGCAATGCGACGGCGCGCGGGTTGGGCCGCCTGCTGTGAGCAGATCCCACCGTCCTGCCACGCCCAGCACCCCGTCGAGCCCCGCGTCTGCCAGGCGCGAGGCCACCTAATTACAGGTCTACAGGGAAGGCGTGCGCGCCTCCAAAGCCGCGCAGCCACTGCGGGCCCTCCAGCACCAGATCTGCGCTGCGGTCCAGGTCGCCTCTGCCGCCGGCATAGTCGCGCGCGGCGCCCAGAGAGGCCCTCCATGGCCTCGCATCGGGCAGCGCAGCGAGCGCATGAGCAGCTGCCAAAAGACGGTCATCGTGCGCCGGCCCGAAGTGCAGCCGCATGCCGCGGGCCCTCGCCGCCGCCTCCGCCGCGGCCGCCTCGCGAATTGGCATGCGAGCCTCCTGCAGGCACCAGGGCCATGCCGCAGCATCCGCAGCCACCCGCGCATCTCCACCTGGCACTATAGACGATGGCCACCAGAAACCGGACAGGGCGCTCTGGGCTGGGTGGGGTCGCACCTAGCCGGTGCAAGAGCCAGCGGGCTGGGGCCGAGCCCTCCCTGCAGACGTCGACGCGTCCTGGGTAGTCTGCGTCGCGTCGCGGGGAAAGCGCCCGCGGGGCCCGCCCCCGCCCCCCCCCGCTTTCGCCTCGAGTCTGGCGTCCCACCTCACCGATGCAACGTCGGCGGAGAGGGGCGAGGAGGAGGAGGAGGAGGAGGAGGAGGAGGAGGAGGAGGAGGCCCTCCCTGCAGACATCGCGACGCCAGGGTGAGCCGAGGCGCGCGGAGGGCACCCGCAGCGTCTGCCCACCGCCCCCCCGCCCCCTTCCGTTCTGGGTCAGGGGGTCGCAGAGGAGGGGAGGAGGCGGAGGAGGAGGAAGGGGCGGAGGAGGGGGAGGAGGAGGAGGAGGAGGAGAGGAGGAGGAGGAGGAGGAGGAGGAGGAGGAGGAGGCTTCCCTGCAGACATCGACGCATCCTGGGTCGTCTGCATCGCGTCGCACGAAGGCCGATTGGGCCACGGCAAACCTCGCACTCGTTCGAGGCGAACTCGTCCGACGCGGTGGGCCGTCCAGCGGTGGGCGGCGCCCCTGCCGGGATCGCTGCCCGCGCTAGGTTCAGCGCGCCCTCCCTGCAGACATCGAGACATCCTGGGTCGTCTGCGTCGCGTCGCACGGAGGGCGTCCGCGCTGCTCGCCGAATCCTCCTCCCACCTCCCTAACGGGACAACGGCGCGCCCAGGGCAGGGTGCTCCGCGTCGCCGTGGGGGGCATCCTGGGTCGCCGTGGCAAGGTGGGACGCTCTGGGCGCTCCCAGACGGCGCTCGTTTTAAGTCGGGCCTGTCCCCTCCACAGGGGGAACTCCGACGAAAAATACAAGATACCCCAAAAATAATCAAAAAATAGTCCAAACATAGTCCGGGGACTATGTTTAGTACTTTTTGAACTTTCTGGGATATGCTTTGAATCTCTTAGCTTTTCGTCGAAAATCCCCCTGTAGGGGGACACGCCCGACATAACGCTCGTTGTGGCGCACAGTTGGGGCGGCCTCCTGAAGTCCCCGGCGCTCCACGGGAAGGCTGGGCTCCGCCGCGGTGCTCGCGGTCGCCGCGGCGAGGGCCCCGCGCCCCGCCCCGCGGCGGGCAGCCGTGCCGTGGCGGGGCGTCCCGGGCGCTCCCGGACGGCTCTCAGACGCTCGGGCGCCCTTCCTCTTCCTCTTCCTC